CCCCCCCGCCGCCGGTGCTCGTTTTCATCGCCGAACAATACACCGGACACGGTTTCCACACACGGCCCCTCCCAAAGCAGAGGTCTATGCGCGCCGCAGGTCCGCCGGGGTCTTATTCTCCAAAATCCAATCATCGCTGTCCATGCCAATTATGGCCCGGCCATCAGTGGTACCCTCGGTACCCGCCCCACCGTCCCCCCGCCGTTGACATCACCGGCCCAGCCCGGTGCCCAGCCACCAGCCCGAACCCAGGTGGCGTTTAACGCCAGGGCAAGGCCCAGGGCAGCTGGAGACTCAACTAACACTTCATTCGAGGCAAACGACTGAGAATATGCACAAACGGTGCAAAAGGCGGCTTCCTCCCCAGCCATGTTTCTACACAAACCGGCGCTGTATCAAAGAGGCAACTAGAAAAAAAGGGAATGCTGCCTTTTTTATTTTTTTTAAAAGAGCGTGCTTTTAAGAATACCAATACCTGCAGTTTATTGTAAACATTCGTTAACAACTCTAGGCATGTAACAGACAAGCAACATTCAAAATTTTGCAAAGTTTGGCCTTACACCAGCTGCTTCAGCTTCCACAGCAGAGCATTACAACAGATGAAGCCCATATGTACTCAACCATACACATTTCAAAAGCATTTTTTGAGCTTGGGGTTTGGTTTTCGTTGTTTCTTTTTAACAGAGAAAAATGAGAAAATTATCTCAACTCTATGTTGATTTCAATGTGCCAACAGTATTAGGACAAAAAATATTATTAAAATAATGATGTTCCAAATATTTTCACATAGACCAGGTCCCGTGACGCACAAAACGAGGTGCAGCTTTTAGAGTATTACTCGTAATAACAAGCCATTACCAAAGCCAGTGCAATAAATGTTTCAGTCTCACATTTAGCTGAAACCCAAGTGTCTCTTTGAGCATCCCAAACCCATCTGCTGGCAACCTAAAGGAAAGAAGAGAAAAAGCTATTTGTGAATCTATATACAGCAGTTTTTACACTTTTTAAGAAGAACACACAGCATTATATAAATACTGAGATAGTTGCATTATGAAAGTTACAAATAACAACAACTGCAAAATTGCAGTGAAAAGGAACAAGTCCTGTTTAATGTTAAAATACATGTTCTTGCTTCACAGTAAAGCTTCCACCCCAATAGATCCAAACATCTCTACACCAAAGACTCAATTCTCTCTCATGTTCACTTGTTAGTACTTCAGTGTACTCTAACAGCACCCCTTCAAAAGCAATGCAAAAAGACATTAGTTTTGGGAACAAATACAACTAAGAAGTCACATTCCTGACTCCTCCACCTCCAGCTTACTCTAGTCTACTTGTGACCATTTACTGGGCTCTCAGCTTCTTTTGATAAAACTGTTTTCAAAGCTAAAAATGTGTGAACTGACTGCTGGAATATTCCTCAGGAGAAAAAAAGTTAACTTGGAACATTTCAGTAACCCATTTATAATCTAGAGCTCCTCAGTCAAAATACAACTTCAGAGGCAGCGTACTGTGAGACAGCACCAGAAAAGTGGGTACACCCAGGCCCCTCACACACTGGCTTCATTACTGAAGCTGACAACCTTTCAATTGTTTCACATAAGCCACGAAAAACGGGTGTGGATTCATCAAGTTTTAATAGATGACAATGAATGTTCCTAAATAGAAGTGTTCTCTGACACTCGGAAAGATAGCTAGAAGCATTGTGAGTGCCAATGGGAGCTTGCAATACTTGTAAATTTACATACAACGCAGGGGAAGTCTACAATACTTTTCTTTTGGGTGTGCTAAATTCAGGTCATAATATTAATATGTAGTCTCAAGAGCATCTATTTGGTGGCAGCTATAGTTGAAAGCATTTCTGTCCTTTTGCCACCCGTTCCTTTCCATGTCACCCCATGCTACAACTGCACAGCATTCTTTGCTGAATGTCATGACCCAACTGGAAATCAAAGTACATCACAAAAAGAAAATTCACAGCAGTCATGCAATTGCACTGGCACAGCACAGAGTGGAAATAACTGGTTAGCAGGGAAGAGCAGTATGAGCTGCTTACCACTGCCCCTGAACTCAGAAAGAAGACAACCTTCACAGGGTTAAGTAGAATCACAGCACTACCTTAAGTTGTCACCTGGCATACCGCTCCCCATAAAGAGCCCAAAGGCTTCAAGACCACCTCAAACTTGTTAAGCTGCTGAATGTGGATGAAGCCTAGGAGGTAACATACGGTTCTAAGAATTATTTAAAATTTGCAAAAGTTATTATGAATACGTTTACTCACATTTATTGCCTGACCTGCCTTTTCCACAATTAGTACTGATACCACGTACTTATAGCGGTCAAATTTCAGTTCCTTCACAGCCTTTAATATTTCTTCTGAGATTGAAGCACACAAGGAGCGACTAGAAACTCCATCATATTTGGCTTCTTGAAGTCTATTCTATCAAAAAAATTTTTGAAATATTTTAGTTTTCATTCTGGTAGTCTTTTGAATCAAAACAACACAACAAAAAACTATCAGTCATTTCCATTACAAGAACATTAGACGAACTAACGAGTAGAACAGCCAAAATAGACAATGCTCTCAAACAGCAAACGCTGCGCTACTTTTACTCTTAAATGTTTTATCTATTTTTTCAAGGTGACAAACACATCCAGAAAATCTCCATTTAACAAACAGGAGTGTATTGCTCTCCATCATTGGGCCTCGGTTCACTGGAAAACGGTGTTACGAATACCAGTTACAAATATCCAAGGCATGTCTTCAAGAGAGCAGAATGACAAGAGTTGGTTGTAACTATTCAAGGTATCACTAACAGCTACATATTATCTCAACAGATGGTTCTCCCTCTTTGCATGTGGCAGTCAGACTGCCAAGGACACCAAGTATATTTTATGCAAGTCAGGACTAGAATTCCACAAATTCAAGGTCAGGATCTTTGGATATCCAGTTGGGATATTTTGCAGATTAGGGTACTTGGAACTGTGCTATACCTCAATTTGATTTAGAAATGAGTTAGAGTTTAAGCAGCTTCAGCTCCATCTTAACAGCACATGTTCAGTGGTGACCTTGCAGAGGTCCTTCTGCACTTTGCAAGCGGAGTACACTCACATTACATTTGTGTGCCAGAACTCCCCGTTTGCAAAGATTTATGCATACTTTTAAGTTTATGCAACTTACACTGCTCCATTAATCTTTGAAAGGCAAGCTACTTTTGCAATGAAATTAGACAATCAATTTAAAAAAAAAATACTATACCGTTAGTATTGCTTGAGCTTTGTTTCTTACTAAATAATCCCGCAATTTATTATGTGGCTCCAGTCTGTATGTATTAGCATATCTTATCTTTACCCTACGAGCTTTGAATGCCAATAGCCTAGTTTTCATCAAATCACTAAGACGCTCTTCTTCCACTGGAGCCATACCTAAAGCTTCGTAATTTGCTGACACCCTTTTTCCTTTCATCTGTGCAAAATAATAAAAAAAGTCCACATTACATGTCCGTATTTTAGCATTTAACAGTCTCTAAATAATACTTTATGGTGTACAGTTAAAAGGAAAAAACCCAGTAGTCTCGGAATGTGTTACCAAAAAAAATGGAAAAGCTAGAAAATGGGTATCTCCTTCTGGCTGTTCTGATACTATCCCTCTGACCAAAAACAGAGAACGGTGGTTAACTTCTGCTCAATTTTTTTTTCCCACCAAAATCCACATGAGGTTTGCATGTAAACTCAGTCATAGAATCATCTAGGTTGGAAGGGGCCTTCAAGATCATCTAGTCCAACCATCAGCCTATCTCTGACAAAAAAAAAGTCACTAAACCATGTCTTTTTGAACACCTCCAGGGATGGCGCCTCAACCACTTCCCTGGGCAGCCTATTCCAATGCTTGATAATGCTTTCAGTGTAAAAGTTTTTCCTAATATCCAACCTGAACCTCCCCTGGCACCACTTGAGGCTGTTTCCTCTAGTCCTGTTGCCTGTGACTTGGGAGAAAAGAACGACCCCCACCTCTCTACACTCCTTTCAGGCAGTTGTAGAGAGCAATAAGGTCTCCCCTCTTCTCCAGGCTGAACAACCCCAGCTCCCTCAGCCTCTCCTCATAAGACTTACTCTCCAGACCCCTCACCAGCTTCACTGCCCTTCTCTGGACTTGCTCCAGCACCTCAATATCTTTATTGTGGTAAGGGGCCCAAAACTGGACACAGAGCTCGAGGTGGGGCCTCACCAGTGCCGAGTACAGGGGGAGTCAATCAGACACACCACACCAGTGCTATAAACGCACTCCGTTTTCCAGGTAAAAATACCCGGACAGTAACACATGGCCCCGACCCACCAGGCCGCTCTCACCCCACCCCGCCCCGCGGCCAGGTGACGGGCGGGCGGCGGTTATGGCCGTTACAGCCGCCCTCACACCCGCTCCCTTCCCGCCCGCCCGGGGGACCGCGGGCCTCCAGCAGCTAAAACACCCCCGGGGGGCCGCCCTGCCCTGCCCTGCGCTGCCGTCCCCCACAGGCAGCCGCTCACGCCGTCTTTATCGAACAGGCTCTGGCGCTGCTTTCCCCCCTCCGGGCCGGCGTCGGCGCCGACGATCTTCGGCATCTTGGAGCGCTTCTCCATGGCTCCGCGGCGGCAGCAGCACGGCTCTCCCCGAGGGGAGGGAAGGGGAAGCGGGCGGCCGGTGGCAGCGCTCTGCCCGCTCCTCGCCTCTCGCCGCCGGCCTCGCGCTCCACGCGCCCGGCGCAGCCCGCTGCCAGGGCGGAGCTCTTTCCGCGCGAGACAGGCGTGACGGCGCGCGCCCGGGCACAGCGTCGTGACGTCAGAGCGGGCGGGCCCAGAGGTAACGGCGGCGGGTCGCCATGGCGGGGCGGGGCGGCAGAGGAGGAGGAGGAAGGGACCGGGGGGACCGGGGGGACCGGGGTCGTTGCCGAACTAATGGGGCTGAGCGGTTCCCTGCTGCTGGAAACGCGGGGCTTGGTCACGTACTGACCCCCAAAAAGAGCCGCCTGGGCCTTGTCTGCTCCGTTTCAGGCAATAAAGAGCGGCTGTGGTTTTGCTCTGGCAGTGAAACGTGGGGGGCCTCAAGGTGAAGGACTGAATTACATGTTTTTAGGGCGTTTTAGATGTTTAGTTTCATAGCAGATCGGATACTCCCGGTAGCAGCCGATAGCCGTTCCGTACAGGAGCCGTCGTGCCGTTTGTGTGCCGTTACCCGGGTCAATATCTAGTCTCTCCTTGAAGCCACGCATTCAGAAGTTAGGAACTGTTAGGGTCAGTTCCAGCCCCTAATTAAGGAGAGAAAAACCTGTTTTAAATGTAGCTTTAATGGAATCTTTCTCTGTTTGTTGTGATACTTCAAACAATTTATGTCTTTTCTGTTTGATTAAACAGACAGTGTCGGTTTTTTTTTTTTTTTACTAAATCAGAAGCATTTCCTCCCTGTTAGCATGAACAGTTACATCTTTGCAAATTCTTTTATTTAAATGTGTGCTTCTCAATCAGTCTCTCTTTCTGTTAAGACTAACATGCAAATAACATTTATACTTAGATTGTTCTACCACTACTACCGGTTCATACATCCTGTCCTGCCCCTTCCCTCCCTCCCCGCCGCCCCCGCCACTGTTTCTGCTGTTCATAAGGTCTGAAGCTCTTGGGTTTACTTGCAGTAGCATCAGTTTCCCTGCAAGCTCAGAGGTCAGATAAAACAGTTACACATAAACTGGAATCTTTTGCTTCAGTCTATATTTGTATCAGCTCAGTAGATAGGACCATTCATAAATATATCATCCTGGCATTACACAAATAAAACAATTCTTCCCCTCAGTTTTCCACAAGGTAATTCTGCTGAGAGAATTCCTTTCATCATATGCATAGATGAAAGTTGCATTGCAAAACTTAACAATGTGTTTACAGATGCTGTATTACTACCTGTATATCTCTGCTTATGGGTATGCTTTAATAATTTTCTTTGTACTCATGTACTTTCTTAATGTAAGAACTTTTGTGTGTGTGTGTTCTAGATGGCGTTGTCAGACTCGATCACTACTTGTCTTTCTCCACCTGTGCATTATGTGATTTGCAAACTTGGATTTGAGAAGACAGACACCTATGATATTAATAATATATTATCGGAAAGTGGAGAAGTATGTTGGCCAGCTGTTACAGAGCATGTGTGTTACCTTAAATCAGGTTGGTGTTTACCTGCTGTAGTAGTGATACATTTAAGACTGATGCAGAATCTCAGCGTAGTTCATAACAATCCTAGCTTAGTTATAACATTACAGTAGAGCATTAGGTTTGCTGCAGATTAGAGTATGTACAGTTCATATCTACAAGGAGTTCTAAGTTCTTCATCCACGTTTGGTACTTGGTTATTGCTGGCTCCTAAGATTTATGTCATCTGTGCTACATAAGTAGCTCCTCCTTTACTTCCTCATTCATTTTGGTTCACAACTTCATGTGCCTGTACATAAGGGATTCAATTCTGCTTCTCTCCTGCTCCATAATTGCTTTCTTCTGTGTTCTTTGTATCCCTTTTGCAGGAAATTTACGACACACTGAGACCATCAATATTGCTACTGTTACTTCTGGTTTTGTTTCCCCAACTTCAGCTTGTACACAAGTACTGTTTGGTTTCCCTTCTGTATGTAAAACAGTTTGTTATTGCTTTTTAACCAAAACAAAGTATTTATGCCCAGATGAACTCATTGAATTTTAATTTGCCAAGTTGCGTCATGCAAAATCTTATTAATTTCCAGAGAGTGTAAAAATTATACATTTCTGCCTCAAGCAATATATTTCAGTAAATCAGAAGAATTTATATTTCCTATTAATGTGTCCCACCAAGGAGGAGCACTTTGTAAGGTACCACATCCATCTGTGTTCTTAAAGGGTGTAAGTGGTGCAACTTCACTGATCCCTCTGAGCCTGCACTAGCTTCCAGCTTGTGGAATTTATGTACTCTAGTACGTTCTTCCTATTTCAGCAAAACCAGAACATCATAATCCTCTTTACTTCCATACTCTCTTGCAATAAGTTGTGGGGTACCTTTTATTTGGAGAAGCTACTTATCTCACCCGTTTTCCTACTGCACTTCTACTTTTCTGTATCTTATCTGTGTGGTCTTTTGGACAGGAAATTGTAGTGTATTAGTTGTGCTAAAATAGTCTGGATAAAGTTCTCGGTGCTAAATATGTACGCAAGCTGTAGGAGATTTTAATCCTTTGTGAGTATTAAAATATTAGACCTTTTGGAAGTTTGGTATTCTAACTGCTTTCTGTTTTTCAATTTAAGATCAAAGTGTGGATTATATCGAAAGTATACGATCATTAGGACCTGTATGTGAATCTGTTAATTTACACTTTAAATCTCTGACCAAGGAGCAATTTGTAATTCAGTATGCATTATGGTTCCGCTGGACAAACTGCACAGAGGTATGGGAACATCTGTTGACAATTCGTATTTTGGTGCTTGAACCCTCTGTGGAAGTTTACTGTAGATACCAATAAACCAAAATGCTTAGAATTTGTAATTAATTGCCCTTCTCTGGTACGTAGTTACTTCTAATTTTCCTGACTTTGTAATTAGATTTTATGTAAGTTATTACAAGGAGAACATGAGGTGCTTGGTTCTAACCTAAGATGGTAGGATTTTGGTTTTCTAATAATCTGTGCTTAATATCAAGTTTTAATGTGTAAAGTTAGTGTTGATAATTTTTATTCATGTAAGGCACTAGATACATTGCAACTAAAAATACGAGAGGTGCTCTAGAGAAGCTTCTTTCCAGGCATCTACATTTTTACCTCTTTGGCATGTTTTTCTTTCTACATTTTTATAGTGACTATCACAGAGGAATTTTTAGGTTTGTCTGTGCTTCTGACAATTTGATTTCTCCTTCCAAATATTTAACACACCATTCTTCCTCTCTCCCATCATACAGTTATTTCTTGAAGTATTTGATGTTCTGCAATATACACAAACTACAGAAGTTGCTCTTGGCTTAATGAAACTAACATCATGCTTGGAGCGAGCCTTGGGAGATGTAAGTGCCAGCATGACGAGTCTTGCAGATTTGGTTTTATAAGATGGGAGTGAGCTCTTGGATTTAATTGCATGTTGAAAAGTGAGATTACCCTGTGTTGTAGTAGTACGCTAATTGCTCAGCTGCATTTTGAGTTGGGCAGATGTTCTTTTCTGGATCCAGTTGGGCAAATGGAAACACCTTCTGGCACTCCTTCACCTGTGCTGGTAGAGTTGCTTGTGTGAGTGCCGTTACTAACCAGTTTCATTAAAACAGAGCAAAGTTTGCTTAATCAGTGTACATATAGTAGGTCTTCGTTACTCCAATTTAACTGAAACAGGGAGCAGCATATCTTCCACAGGAGACATGATGATTTAGAAACTTTTGTGAGGAGAGGCAGGAGCATGCAGCTGGAAATGGGCTGCTAAGGTAACTTCGTTCTTCAGAGCTCTGTTCGCAGAGTGTACATCCGTTTCATGCTTCAACATGAGTCTTGTGCTGCAAAAACATCTGCAAGACAGCTAACAACTTAAATTCTTGACCTAACTGATCAGCTGGATAGATCTGGGGTCCATCTTGTAGTCCTGAACATTTGTCTTGTTAACGCGTTCCCTCTTTCCTTTATCCTGTAGTAGTTAGTGAGGGCATGCACTTGTGTTATGTTTAAAGAGTAATACTGCAGGAGTTCCATGACCAGCATGAGGCAAGGAGTGGAAAGCCTAACTATGCGAACATTAAGTAGGTTATCCACTCTTTCCTGATATTTTCCATAAATTTTAATATTTGGTGCGGTTTGTTTAATTAGTGTTTTTACAATAATGAAAATGGTCACTCGGTGAAATAATCAAGATGAATGTTTGAAATACAAAGAAGTAGACTGAATTACTGATGTTACCTGTTTTGCTTTTTTTCTTGATAGGTCTATTTACTGATTGGTAAAGATTGCCCTTTCCTTCTAAGAGACTTGCTTGCTTCTGAGCAGCTTGCAGTTGTCTTTGGACAAGCTGTAGTAAGTGCATAGTTTTGAAATAAGTAATAAATACTGAGCTGGTTTTCTTCTTGCCAAAGGGCAGGTTTCCAAGCATAACCTTTGCTTGCATGGAAGAAGAGTTTGCAAATTCTGTAATATATTGGAAAAACTTTCATTTTATAAATATTACAGTCTGGGGGATATACGGCAAAAATTGTGAATATTGTAAATGGAAATATTTTTTAAGGCAACCTCATAAGTTCTTATTTGCTTTTTTACATGAAATACCTACATACGTAAAATTCCACACATCTGTCAAGGGGGTGAGCAAGCTGCAGAGTTCTCTGCCTCTTTCCAAGTTGTACTACCTGAAAGTACACATCCTGCACTGGCCATTTTTGATAAGCTGTGTGTTCCCCTCCACCACCACTGTAGTAAGATGCTTTATAACATTTACCACACTAGAATTTTTCAAAATAGAGAAGACTAATTTGTTCATCTCCATGTGCAAAACAATAATTAAAACAAAATTCTGGTAACATTTACAGTCTTATGCAAGCAAAGTAGGTGGTCTTTCTCATGCAGTTTTAGAAATGTAAATTCTTTGTTAGGACAAAGTATTGGAAGTGAACTGTAGAAGCTTGTATTGTTAGCCAAATAATGAGTTAGCAAATAATGAGTTGCTGTTACTGTGACAAGATGTGGCCAGTCATTTTGACAGTAGGGATTGTAGTTTCTCAATAACTTCTGAAATTTTCTGTCAGGGAAAGATACAAGGAAATAAATAACGGATTTCTTCATGCAGTAATCACTTTGTTTATTAATTAGATGAATGTACTGAGGGTGTTCATTGGATCTCCATATGGTCTGAATCTTCGTAATGTTTTGTGGCATGGTTTTGCATCCCCACAAGAAATCCCTGCAAAGTAAGTTACCAAAAAAAATTTCATTTTCTTACTAGCCAGACTTAAGAGTGCTTGAAAAGTTGTAAGTCAAACTTGCTGCTGTTATTGAAAAAAAAATATAAAGAAAAAGAAAAATGTCCAAAGGACTCTGGAAGTATCCTGACAGTGTTCACCTGCTGCTGCTGCTTCTTTTGGAATGGGATTTCCACAGAATACTTCAGCCATTACAAAGCTTGTCTGTTTCAGGACCAGTGTTTTTTTACTAGTAGGAAAAGCAAGAAAGCTTAAGGTCTTTTTTTGAAACACGGTTCCTTGTCTCTCAGGGCAGTCAGGAATAACTTGGAACAACAGGCAGAGGAATGGGTAGGAGGAGCAGCAACAGCAGCCAATGTAGAATACAGTGATGCTTTTTTCCTAATTTACTTTTTTTTTCATGCTTGTGAATGCAATTAATTATTAAGTCCCCCTATGCAAAAGAGGCGGGGAGTGTAGGTTTTGGATGCTCTTCGAAAGAGCAAAAAAATCTTTGTCCCCAATTCACAAATGCTGATTCTTTGCAAAACTTTTAGTTGCATAAGCTTTTCTAATATATTATGGTATTCTCCCCAGATATTGTGCTATGCTGCTTTTTTTAACTGCAGGATTGGGTCAGTTGTTACAGACGTATCTTCTGCAAACTAAATGCATTTTAGTACATCGACCATATGTGATTTTCGTTAGCTTAGAGGAGCTTGATGTATTTCCAGGCAAGTATTGAACCATTAGCAAATTTTTATTATGCTTTATTTTCTATTCTTTCATTGTTGAAAAGTGCTGTTGAAAATAATGTATTTTCCACAGTTCTAAAATTGAATCTTAACTAAGATACCTGTATACACTGTCATTAAATGAATCAATCATACTTCTCGGATAACTTTTTAATATGTAGTGGTTCCACTGACTCTTGAAATGTCTAACATTACTGCTTCTAAAAGTCTTCAACTGTATGTTCCAGTTTTTTGATGATGAGAGTTCATTTCATGTAACAGTCATCTAGTTTGCCTTTACAAAATCTAATTCTTTCCAGAATCAGTGGGTTCCAGCTGCAAGGGTCCTAGCAGGAGTGACCTGCATCTTACAGGGAAGGTGGTGCTAAAACAGAGTAAAGGATGGTGACACCTCTTCAGAACACTGATGTCAGATTAAAATCTTCTCATCTCCCTGGCTACAGACCTTATTTGGTTTATTCCTACTATTTTTTAAGCAATAACAGCATATGAGGAATAAATGTCAATAGTGGTAATAGTCAGTTTGTGCCACCCAATCAATTTTCTAGTGGAATGTCTGTTGACAGAACTGAGACAGGGCTTCTGGGAACCAAATCAAGCTGATACCATTCCAGTCATCCCATAGTACAAATCCCATAGCTGGTTTGTTTCAAAGAAACACCTACTGCAATCAATGCTCTTGCCATTTTAAGCTTTCTCTTGGATAAGATATTTATAACATGAATTCATAATATGGTGGCATTGAAGTATGAAGTGTTAATTTATTATGCTGAATGTTAGCACAGATTGTTGATAAAGTAGGAACAATGTGCTCATGTTACAATGTTCATGCAACTTACTGAATGAAAATTATTAATATGTATTACCTTTTTTAAAGTATTTGAAGCAGGTGGAGAACAACTCAATAGAATCCGGGTCCAGTTGCTGTGTAGTCTTTTAGTCTTAGTAAAAAGCAACCACAACTTTTTAACTGTTTTTGCACTGTACTTTTATGTTATCAGTAAAAATGCAATCTTACAAACTCAGTTTCTTATTTATGACTACTGTTGTACTTGCATGGTTAAAATAAATTTGATAACTTTTGTCTCCCTTTACAAATGCTGAAATAATTTTGTATTTTCAGTGGAATATTAAGAAGGAATTAGTAATCCAAAGATTTTGTATAGTTTATCAATGTTGTTTTGCTAACTTGCAGATCTCAATCACGAAATACTTTCCATAGCTGAAGAGCTAGTAAAACTGTCCAGTTTTGTTTTAAAAGCAATGTTACCATTTTGGATGGCTGCTTTAACAGCTTTCAAGCAAAGCAGGTAACAGTCATTTTGTGTTTTGGTTTTTTAAAAATATTTTTAATAGAATCTAAGAAGAATGTAGTCTATATTTATAGAATAACAGCAGCATTTGTAGATTCTAAAGCTTTTAGCTAAATCTGTTGCTTAACAGGATATTGTTATGCTTGTTATGGTGGTCTCTTAGAAAGTTTGTGGATTTACTACTTTATATTTTGCCAACTACGATTATCGACTATACTTTAAAACTAAAAAGAACTATTGCAAATATAGCCAAAAGGAGAGGTTTACACAGCAAGTGGAAACAGATCTTCAGATATTGACATGTTGAGTTAAAAAAACCCCACAGGTATATTGTTTGATTTTCTCCCCCATACTCTGCCTTTTTGTAGTTTATTGTCATCTCTGAGCTGGTTTGAATTTGGTGGTCAGTTTTTGTTGGGCACAGGTAGTCATTTATTGTTTATTTACAAAGTGCATTAAAGAGAAATTTTGGTCTGGCTTGTTTGGCCTGAGAGTGTAATTCTGAGATGGGTCTAATTTCCATTTAGGTTATATTTCTAAGGGGGGAAAACCCCTTTGGATATCTCTGTTGTTTTTTTCAGGTATGCTGACTGTGTGATTCTCTTACTTCCTCAGCTGGAAGTTGGACTGAGGTTGCTCTTCACTACCACTAATAAGTGTCCAAATCGTTTGCTAACAGCTGAGGTAAAATTTCTGTCTAAAGTGAATTATGATTTAGTGCTAACAATATTTGCAAAGTAGCTAGTCTAGAAGCATAGTATCTAAACATTTACAGATTTTCCCCAAGATTTTTCAATCCACTACAGAACATTATTTACAAACTTCCAGTAGAGTTTCATGAATATCTCCTATTTTTTTTGTAAAGATGTCTGCCAGTAAAAGAGGTCTGAAAAAGCACTTGAAGGTTAATGTTCAGAAACACTAGTGTAGGGTGAAAAGTAGATCATGTTGTATTTATTTTAAAAAACTCAGCACAAAATCCAACAGCCCCTTTTTTCATTTGTAAGGTGGTTTTTTTGCTACTTCTGCACCTCTGGTATTTTGTGAAAATGAGTAAGTGTAAGTTTGATATGCATGTCTAGTTAATTGTTTTCATTTGAAAATCAAATAATAGTACTTGTCTTTTCTTCTAGCCTTCTGCTCTCTACACCACTTTCGATGAGGTACTTTTTAATTTTATTTTTTTTTAAATATATATCAATGCCAGAATTTAAGCACGTTTCCCATTACTGGAGACCAGAAAGCACTTTCTTATGTTGGATAAGAACATTATCTCCAATTTTTTCCTACATAGGAAATTATGGACAGTAAATATCTTACATTGACCATTAAAATAACTGAGAAAATATCAAAATTAATGCAGATTTTAATGAACAGGCTTTAATTTCTTCTAAATTATTTTGTTTTAAAATTCTTCATCTCATAGATACAAACATTCTGTTATTTTTCCTAGATTAAATTATTCAAAATAAACACAAATAAACATTGCAAGTAGAAATCTTCAAATTTTACAACTCATTAATTATCTCAAATGATCTGTAATTAATAATTGGACACCTTGATTCTTGAGTGGCAGAAGTAATTCCTTAAAGTTAGGGAAACTAATTACTTAAGTTGCTGGTTTTTCTTTGATTTTTTGGCTTTCAGTAATAAGTTTCTACTCAAATTACTTTTTTCTAGATGCTAGCAAAGCATTTGGATAATGAAGAAGTAAACCAGCTCCCTGCAGTTCTTGAGGAACCTACCATGGCAAGTATTTTGAAAGGTTTTTTTCCTTGGTTTTTTTTTTCCTTGAACACAAAGCTTACAAGTGATACCGGGTTAGGATATAAGACTATCTTTCTTTCTGAAATATGTAGGTCTCAGAGATATTTGTCTTTAGACTTCTGAAGATCCACTGAATGGAGCAGAAGAAAAACTAATGCCTTATACAGGGAGATTTAAAATTTATTTCTGATTGCTTCTGGGACACATCTTACACTACCTGGGCAGGTGGCACAAACCTACCAGAGCACATTCTGCATCCTGCCACCCAGACAGCTAGTGAACATGAAAACTAGGGGTGTTCAGTTTAGAGGCCTCTTGAGACTGTAGGAGGGGAGACCAGAGTTTATTGTCCTGTTGCCAGAGGCAGTGGGGCTGTGGAGGACTTGGGACAAAAAGCGGAAGGAAATCTGTTGTTACCTCACATGAAATAGCATGTATGTTAGTTTTGAATTTCCTCAGAAGCTGCCAAGATGGGTAAGTTGCTTATTTATTTTTTTTTTTTGCTACAAGCATAGTTTGCATTGTTTTTTCTGTCTAAATGCCCCTTTCCTATAGCCATGGTCACATACTTATCTTTCAAAGGTATTCTATACACTGAATATGTTGCCTTCTATGTGAATACACATACAATAGAATTATATTAATTTGGTGTATGTATCCACAGGAATTTCTTTGGGATTTCTTGAACCACCAGGAGGGTCCACGTATAAGAGATCGTTTAAGCCATGGAGAGATCAATCTAGAAGCATTTCCCAGAGAAGTAGCTAATCAGATAGTTGCATTTGCAATTACTCTTCTCTGCAGATTCTCAGATAAGGATGTGTTTGCTTTTAAGGTAGGGAGCAATATTATGCTCTCAGATTTTCTTCAGGTGTTTTGGATGCCCAATCTGATTTTATAGAGTCTTATGTGGAATTGAAGTATTCCTCCAAGTAAAAAATTGTGAAAGTATGTTTTTTTCTAGTTTTGTAGTGAAATAAGTATAGAAAGTTTTCCAAAATGATTACCCTTTCTTACTGTACCTTAATTTGTTTGCTTAACCACTTGTTATTCACATTGTTGATCCATAAATTATAGTGATTCCACCTAATTTTGTCAAATTATATCAGTAATTTGTTTATCTGCTGAATTAATTGGAAAGGTCTGTAGAACAGCTGTAGCTCAGCCACAGAGGTATGCAATATTTCAGATTTTCTTTCTCTGAGACACTATAAATGACAGTGACTCACTAATGGAGGTCTGATTTGTATCCACACTCCATACCATGAATTTGTGAACACTGTTTTGTCTAGCAATGCATGTTTCTCAACATTAGCAATTATTATATTTACTCCCCCCAGTTTCCTGTAATATTTGGGATTACTTCTTTCAATATCATACAGCAACTTGTGAGATGAATCTTCCATTTGTTAGTTGAAGATCTTTTTAGTTTTCTCAAGATATATTGCATGCTGCTGCATTTAGAGAGTACTTGGTTGCTTTTCTGTCAGTTGCTGTCAGGTCTCATAGTTAAAATGTGTCAAAGAAATGAAGCTTTAAACATTCACTGTGCTGATTACTGCTTTCAGCCCTCAGACATTTGTAAGTCTTTATTGACTTCAGTACTCTAGGTGCCTTGCATAAAATTAAATATAACTCTATGTCTGCATATGATTAGGACAATTTAAAGAAACTGTTGTGTATTGTCTATGATTTTGTAAATCAGGAACACGTGGCCATAAAACCACTGATGAACTGTGCAAGTTGCTACCGTTCTCGATTTCATCCAATTTCGCGACTCAAGAAACAGGTAGGTACTTCGACCGTGAAAGCATTTTGGTCCTTAAAATTGCTCTAATTGTTGTCTTCATGTTTTGATTTTCCTAAAAAGTCAAAATCTTAGATTTTTTTTTTTTAATGAACTTTTTAGTTTTATCTGTCAGAATTCACAGGAATTTACAGTTGTTAAAAGGAGGTGTAGTTAAGCACACTCTTGTTGATGCAATTGGTGTTTGTGCCCTTGTGCTGTTTTTGGCTGTGGTAATTTTCATCATAGTAGCTATTATGGGGCTGTGTTTTGGATTTGTGCTGGAAGCAGTGTTGATAACACAGGGATGGTTTAGTCGCTGCTGAGCAGGGCTTACACAGAGTCAAGGCTTTTTCTACTCCTCACACTGCCCCACCAGTGCTGGGGGTGCACAAAAAGTTAGGAGGAGACAGCTGGGACAGCTGACCCCAACTGACCAAAGGGATATTTTGTACCGTATGTCGTTGTGCTCAGCAATAAAAATAAGGGGAAGTTTGGCAGGAGGGCTGCTGCTGGGGGATTGGCTGGGTGTCAGTGCGTTAGGGATGAGAAATTGTTTTCATTTGCATCACTTGTCTTTCTTGACTTGTATTTCTCTCTCTTTCTTACTTTCCCTTTTCATTACATCATTATTATTATTTCAATTATTTAACTGTTCTTATCTCAGCTCATGCATTTTCTCACTTTTACCCTTCCAGTTCTCTTCCATCCTCCTGTGAGGGCAGTGATTGTTTTCATTTGCATCACTTGTCTTTCTTGACTTGTATTTCTCTCTCTTTCTTACTTTCCCTTTTCATTACATCATTATTATTATTTCAATTATTTAACTGTTCTTATCTCAGCTCATGCATTTTCTCACTTTTACCCTTCCAGTTCTCTTCCATCCTCCTGTGAGGGCAGTGAGTGGTGCTTAGTTGCCAGCTGGGGTTAAACCATGACAGTCCTCAATCACCGAACAGCTTTATTCTTACCTGAATGTTTGCTGCTCTGTAGTTTTCTTAACCTTCTTGTGCTTTCTTATGTCAGGAACACACTGTTTGGCCAATCACTTTATGAATTATTGAACCGCTTTAAGATGTTCCTCTATTGGTTTGAGATTGCAGTAGACATACTTAGTACTTTTCATTTTTGACAAGCATTCAAACCATGTATTACAAAAGTCATGTCCATTAATTTTTTATTAAAAAAAAAAAGGAAGAAAGAATAGTAAATTAGTTTATTCAGATGATGTTTTAGCATGAAAGTGTACACGAAGACTTTTTGCCCTAACATAAACTTTAACAATTGATGTCAGTGTACACAGTTGTGACTACTGAACAAATAACTTACTAGCTGTTGCAGTTTTTTCTAAAGTAGCTGCTAAGAAAAGTAAAATATGTTGTCCTGCCTGTCAAAGGCTACGGTTTATATAACATTTTTCATTATACATTTTTGAGGTGCTGGAATGTATGAAGAGCATTCACTTATGGCCTGAGTTGCCAACAGTGCCCGAGGAACATGTTCAAACAATTAAAGGGTATGTATATGCTATTAAAAAAAGACTGGGATTTGAGGTGCTGTCATGTCTCTTCAAATACTTCACTAGGAAGATGATAGACACCAGAGGGGTTGTGAGAAGATCCTTTGTTCTTTTTAGCTTAATCTGTGCAATACACACTGGTACAGATGCCATAAAAACTAACAACAGTGTGCTAACTGGAAGGGAATGAGAAGACCTCTGAAATATACAAAGGTGCTAGTGACTCCATGTTCTTTTTTTGAAGAGATGATGGAGGACCTGTTAGGAAGTTAAATTAGATCTTGAATTCATCACACACACACAAAAAAAAAAAGGATGGGTCCCCAGATGCAAAACAGAAAATAACTTCTTAGTCTGAAAAGGGCTTGGTAACCAAATCAGTGGAAGACTTTACATGAGCTATTACTTAGAAAAAGAATGTAAAATTCTCTTATTATTTGAAAAGGAGGAAGCCATTAATATTATCACTGGAGGAGATTTTACTTGTTTAGAGGTGAAAATTCAATGCATCTAGCATGTACTCAATATGCTGCAGGATTTTGATGAGTGAATAGAGAATTAAGAGTGGTTCACAAGACTGTTGGGACTGAGAAAAGGTTGGTTTTAGTTGTAGAAAGAAAGTAATGCTTATAAGGTGGAGAGAAAACAACCATAATATCAGAGAGTGAGAGTGGACATTGAATACACTGTTTTCCAAAAAATATGCCTCTTGATGTATGCCATTTGAGAAGTGAGAAGTGCTACACAGTTTTATCATCTCAAAGCTTTATTTTCTTCTTTTGTTTTTAAGGTTGGAAGGAAATGCTGAAGCTAGTCCTTTAATTTTGATGATATCTGAAATTATATCTCAGTTGCAGCAATACATGCCACAGAATTGCTATAGTTCAGATGATCCTATCAATAGTGTCCTAACAGAGAGGTAAGTTTGATGTCCTCCTGGCACCTGCTGTCAGCTTCTACATGCAGCCCAACTCAAGAGCGCTCAAACCTAAGTGACTCATTTCCCTGTTTTTAGAACAGTGCTTGAAATGTTGCATGCAATTTTCTGATGTTGCTGCTGATTTAATCTAAAGGCCTTAAGAATGCAGCTGAACATCATCTTCAAAATGAAGATGAGACATTGTACATTTGGCACATTAAGTAAAAGCTCTACTGTAATAGAAATTAGCATGAAAAAACCAAGCATTTTCTTTTCAGACTGGGGAAACAAAAAATAAATATTTATGTACTGACTAGGTTAAGTTGGTTTTAATCTGTTCTGTGTGATAAAACTGCATCAGAAATTTGGTTTAATGTACTTGGTGTCACAGCTGTGCGTGGCATTTAAAATCCTAGTATGCTGCTACATAATTTTGTTCTTACATGCTTTAGTATCAAGATTCCAAAATTGAAGGTGTCTTGTTATACTTGTCAGACTTGGAGGTATGTTAGTTCCAATTATATCTGACTCAGAATACTATGGTCAAAACAATTTGTCTTTTAATTGGCACTCTTACAGCAATCTGAAGAGTCCCATGATTGAATGTACATGCTGGAACAAAAGTCTCTGAATCAAACCCATTAGGTGTGGGCAGAATAGTGCAAAGAGGATTTTGCCTGTCACTTATGTAGCATGTGTGCCTTCTCTTTCCTACCCACCAATCTGCACTTTTCTCATTTATGAAAAAGAAACCTAATTGCTAAAGTATTAAACCATTTTTAGAGTTTTCTGCCTTTATCACTTTTAGTGATTAATGTCTTGCTGTCTCAGAGATAATTTGACCATGAGGGAGATTAAGAAACATTTTTATAAGAACAGAGTGTTTAAAGTGATGTGTGACACATACAGTTAGCAGATTAGAATATGACAGCAGAAAGATATTTGGGTGCCTTAACAAAGCATAATCTGGTGTGATTTTGATTAAAACAATGTCCTCACCACCTGCATTTTACGAAATGTTAAGTCTGCTTCTTGTTATGCCCAGAAAGAAGACCACACACTAATGGGAGTACTCATTAATACCATTTGTTTGAGTGAGTTTTATTATGGTGGATGTTAATTCATTGTGAACTGAACTATGGTGGGAGGCTTCAACGACAATCCTGCTGTGATTTTATGTGTTCAGTGTATCGTTTCAGCCAGGCAGTTTTGTTTATTGTGGTTGTATTTCTTTGATCTGAAATGGGAAACATATTCATCATGAGCAGTTCTGCATTCATATTCAGTAAAGTAATAGAGAACAGAATCACTACTGCTGCTAGGTAGATCCTTGCTTTTTTTTCAGTCGTGAGGTAAGAGTAATCTGTTTCCAGGTTTTCTGAGTTAAAACATTATGAATCAAACCACACCAAATATGAAATGTATCTCATGTTAAATCCAGCTAACAAAAGATTGAAATTAACAATTCCTTCCTGTTTTGGAGGCTATTGATGGCACTTTGTGATACGCGTATTGGCACGCTTTATTCTCCGAGACCTGTTCTGGAAATATTGGTGGTGCTCCGTAAAATAAGCACACAGTGCCATCACGTGTCTGAGCAGGTTATTGCCAGCACCGAGCTGAGGTACAAACAGTGGATGAACAAGACCCTGCGTTCTCGCCAGAGGCATAACTATCTACGGATGTTGAACAGGTTGGCTGATGGGTTTTCTTTACTCAGTGGTTTGTCTTCCAAGTTTAAAGCCTACAGTGTTCATGGCTTCTTGTTAGCCATTTTAGAGTAAAGTGTCAACCCAGATTTCTATTACATGGTAATATTGAAATAACAAGAAGATCTCAAATTGGAGAATAATTTCATGAGTATTTTAGCATTGCTAGATTACTTCACTGTAAATTATAAGCTGTCAAATAAAAGTATCATTCAAATGTTAGATATATTTTTTAGTTGGTAGCTTTTCCTATTTAAGCATATAAATGCCATTCAAGTTTTAGCTGGATGCAGTAGGTTAAACTGATTTCAAGACTCTACCTGCTTTAGTCCTGCTGGTTTTTAACAATATATCTGGGTCAGCATCTTTATAGATAGAAGTGAAATTGTTTAGTATGCGTTTAATTTTGTTCCTGTTCAGAAGTGTTTTCCAGGGATTTATGAATCTACTTTAAAAACTGGGAAAACTGTAAATATTGTATTCTTGGCCGGGTTATGTTCCTAAAAATGTCAATCACATTATTTAAGAAACATAGGTTAAACTGTCAACAGACGATATATATTTGAAATTCAGTTGAACTACACTTCTACTGAGTAATGGGTGCTGGTGAAGTTTCCTTTGGAATCATAACTAAATGTGTTTCTCTTTTTTTTTTTCTTGAGGTTTCATAATTTATAGTCTTTGTTTATAATTTTGATATTTGCTCTGCTCTTTGCTGAAAGACATTTCATACTCTTCCACTGCCTCCCTCCCCCCACACTATGCAGCTATTTAGGATGGATGCAGAAGTCTGAAAAATTTTTTATATTAATGATTTCTATTTAATTGGGTTTTAGGTTTTTTTTATTTTAAAATATTTTTGCTTATTTCTAGCATTAAATTTTTGTCTCCAGTGTTGCGGCTCATCTTAGTGTTGATTACTGTGGAATTAATTAATATTCATTTGGTTTGTAAGAAGAATCCTTGTGATTATCAGCAGTATCTAAAGTGAGTATATAAGATTTACTTAATGAAATAGGAAATTTTACACATTCCTTTTTGATCTGTAATATAAATCCTGTAGAGAAAAAAATAAAAAGGAACAGCATGACTTCTAGTACATTGTCATCCTTCTTTCTTTAGGCACCGTTACGTCTCAGACAGTGGTCACTTAAGAACTAAAATAACTTAGTTGAAAACACATGGTCCAGTTATTAACATTTTAATTTTTTATTAGTCTCTTCCTTAGTATAGATAGAGAACAATCATAGACTCAAAAAATATTAGTACATAAAAGCTGTATTTAATATGTTGGTAATTTTACTCCTTGTGTGTCAGTTAACAGCTGGTTGGATATCATAGGCATTGTGAAATATTTGACTGAGAAAGGAAAGAAAGCCATTTGGGAAAATTCTATCACACATTTTATCACCACATTCTTTCTATGGCGGTGTTTAGTTGCAGTTTTGAAAATCATTGCTTCCTGCTGTGAGAATGAGGGGGTGGTTCTCTTCCAGAAGTAGAGGAAACCTTAATGTATTGATCATCCTGAGGGAAATTTGGAAATTTGGAGACATTATAGCTTTAAGTCAGGCATTGAGATATTTTTCATTGTTTCTTTTTTTCTTGTTAAATCCTTAATGAGTTTTTCTTCTTTGATTTTATTTCTCGTAGGTTTTTGAAGTCAGTCTTGCAGTATACTGAGAACTTGGTGACATACACAAGCCCTGAGAAAAACAAGTGGGATGAAACCATGGAGCTTACAAACAAGGCTTTGATAAAAATAAGGAAAATCAGTGACAGAAAGCTAATGTTAATGCAGCTAGCTACATAAATTAAATAGGTTTAAGATTGTTGGACATTGTTATATCTTAAGAATTCTGGAATCCTCAAATTTCACAAGTCTAATTCAAAGACAAACTTCATCAGTCATTGTCAAATTTTGGATGCAAAATGTAGTCTTTTTATTATGAGGTAGTGTTTGAGACTGCAGTTGATGAATGGTCAAGCTTCGAAAGAATGGAGTGTTTGCCAAATCCAGTGAAAATGAATTATTTTGAGCTATATCAGGATGATGCAAGTTCTACTTTAAGTAAATTATGTGTTTTGTAACTTGATTTTTTTATTTCTATTATACTGAAAATATCGAAGAAAAGACTGTGAATAAAAGCTCTGGAAAATTTTAAATCCAAAAAGTATTTTTTTATTTGAAATATAGTGGAAATAATGTCAGACACTGTGGTCAACAGGTTAAGAAATTATGAACATTTAGCATTAAGTAGTGCTCGTTGGCAGCTGTGGTTGTTATTAGTTCAAAACAGAGTCAGATCTTGCACTGAGGTATAGTTGGTAACACAGTAACCAGTTGTTTATATATCAGGATTTAAAGGAGGTAAGGTGGAATAACTTTTGCACAGTATGTGTTTCTTTTTCACTGAATTTTTAGAGTTGGAAGGGACCATAGAGATCTCTTTTATTTCATCTGCTCATTCCCAATACATATCTTGTTAGTGAGCTAATTTCATGCAGATTAAATATGAACACTCACATGCATGTGCTCACATACACATACTAATTGTGGTTCAAAAAGTTATCCTCTTTTTGGACACAACATTCATTTGAATAATTTTTTTTTTTCAAAATAAATCCTCCCCCTTTCTCATCCCCAAAGAGTAGAATTTCAAAGGAATGCATCAGTTGAAGAACTGATTTGCAGAAGACCACCAGTCTCTAGCCATTTGTTTTCTCCTGTTGAGAGTAAAACCAGAGGGTAATGTCTGCAGAATGTTTGGCTCTACAAGGGATTTAGAAATTCAAGTTACATTTGAATAAGATTCTTTGCGATGCTTCTTGACTGGAAATAGCAGTGAGAGAATTACTAGTTCGGTTTATTTGGTGTGGGGGATGGATATAAACTAAGATCATATTGCTTCCTTTATGCTACTCTTGCAATATATTTTGTGTTTGAAACTTAACTATGTCACTTTCCAAGTCTGTTACGCTGGAACTAAATGATGTGAAGAGTGTGAACTAGATAAAAGAAAGATTAGAACTGTGAACAGAGAATAATGAATCAAATGCAGTGTATGAGCCACAATCTGAAATTTCAGCTTTTTTTTTAACACCTGAGGTGGCGAGTCCTAATTATATTTTTGAAGGCCTATATTGTAACCATTGACTTTTCTCCAATGTGTTAACTTCTGCTAAGTGTAGCTTGCTAGTGATGTTTATGATGACACTTGCTTTGATGATAAGTATTCTAAGGCAAAAAAACATTTTAAGCTTTACATATTTATGGTAGGAAAGAGATCAAGAAATGAAAACACAGTGTCATGGTTTAAAAGTACATAAACAGCTGATACACTTTCTCCTTTTAAAAGTACTGAAAAACACCTTATAGAACATAGATGTGTATTTTGAACAACATAAGTTCTCCTTTTGTTTCTCTATTTAAACTTGCATGCTATTCGCTTCATACACTTTTACCTAAGATGGAGCACATTGACATTTTCTCTTGTAGTAATTAATGCCATAGATGTGATTTGCTGCTTTATGTCTGCAGTAAGAAACATGATGGACTTTGGGCCATTTTGTCAAAGATGCTTTTCCAGTTTGTTTTCTACCTCTGAAGCTCTCTGATGGGAACGCTGCTACCATCTATTGTTAAACAAATCTGGAACAGACTGGGACAATCCAATTTATTCTGACTTAATGCTGTCATTTGCCAGTAGAGCTGCATGTGGGGCTTATGGTTTCTTCCTGCTGTTAAAAGACTTGCAGAATAGAGCTGCAGAATAATGTATATTCTACAATGCCCTGAAGAACAAATGGCAAGAGACATGGTAGGGATCATGGGGTTTGTCCTTTATCAGTTACTTGAAATGACTTCTCCACTTCAGTTATTCATCTTTGCCATCTGTTTGGAGTCACTTTGAGTTTTAACATATTAGAAAGTTTCTTGACTCTGAATGCTCAGTATTCCTGGGAGCAAAAGAAGTTCGGAATAACCAAATAAATCCACTGGGTACATGCGTGAGTAATGCTGACAAAATACATCACATTTAAATGCAAGTGTTCTGATTTTTGTTGTTCTAAAGGGAATTAATTCTGGGGCTGAACTGTCCAAAATTGCATAGTCATCCATTAAGCATTCAAGTAGTCGTTTAGTCTTTTTTCAAAATTATTTCATTCTTGAAATTTCAAATATCTAGAATTGTACCAAAGAATGTTTTCTTGCAAGTGTGATATTTCATCCAAGTATTACTTGGGTCTGTTTTAATTTTTTGCCTTGCTCCCTGAGGTCTGCGTTTTCCTGGAGCTAGTTAGTATTCACCCAATGACTCACTCAAATATACAGACATAGATGTGGAATCTGCAATATCCTCTTGGGCAAAGGGGTTGAAATATTTTGTTTACCTGGATAATGCTGTGAGGGAGCGATGATTCTTCAGTCTGTTCTTCCGAGTTCAATAAATCAATTTATATGTGTATGTGTGTTTATTAATTAAAAATAGGTGAGAAATTGTTTCCAGAACTGCCTTATCCTACAAGCTAATGTTAGGCATCCAAACTCAAAGAATTTATGACAGAAGTTTTGAAAACATGGAAGAAAATCAGGTATCTGTCTTTTTTGGCTAAGTCATTGGAATTCCTTTGCATCTTCTTGAATATCCCTTCTAAATGGGGAGAGGAGCATCTCTAATAATTTTAGATTTTCAGTAATGAGATGCAGTTCCTTTGCCTGCCTGCCATCTCAAGGGATGTTTTCAGGTGAGAGATTGTATTAAGTAGTAAGAAATCGAATGCATGGAATTCAAATTGATGTGGATATAGTTTTCAAATAAGAGCAGAGATCCTTTGCTGCTTACATAAGAACAAATGAGAATGAATGTTGTAGGAAGTCCTCTGAATCCATTGCCTCTATCGTTTTATGAATGTTTTTGTTCATACACATAAATGTTTGAAGAAAAGCCAATCTCTGAAATAATTATGTTGCAGTTGTGCGAACATTTGTGGGTTTGGGTACCTTCTAGGAACCATCAAGATGAACAAGAAGTTTACTGGGGTAAAAACACAATGAAGCACCAATTATTGCAGGCACGTGTGTGTGGAAGCAAAGCTTGTCCGTTATTTTCTCTCTGTCATTCCAAAATGATGACAGGAGGGGTTAGGAACAGAACCACGTGTTCTTATACAAATGTAGCAGCACAAGTGGCTAAAAATACTTGTCATCACTTGGATTATGCAGAAAGTTTTAACATATGAGATAGAGCAACAAAATTGATTTGCTTTGTCTTTTAATACTTGCCTTGTAGCTGTGCTAAAGCAGCCTGATAGTCTTTGAAGGGAACACATGGTGGCAGTGTTTGGTAATGAATTATAGCGTTGCATCCCGGTATTTACGTATTTACCTTCTTACCCCTTAGGATGTGGATAAAGAAATCAAAGTTTTCTTCTGATTTCATCAGCATTGTTATATGTGTCTTTAATTGCGGCCGTTGCTTCTGGTGAAACTTTTTTCTCCCCTCATTTGTTTCATATCACTTTTGGAGAAATTGAACACTTCTGAAAAAATGTTTTGCAAACGGCATTTGAAAAATTAGATAGAGGTTCATCACATTCACCACATCAGTTGCTGAGGACTTTTCAAATTTGCCAGAAGTTCATCAACTCCCCCTCTCCTCAGGTAGTTTAAGAGGATGAGTTTTCTGAATTTAATATATATTTTATTTGAATAACTTATTGTTAATTACAAAGCATAAGAAGGTATTGACATTCCTAAAAGAAAAAATTCCAGATCGTCCTTTGTTAATTGCTGTGATATCACAAAAAATACTATCTCAAAAGCAAAATGCAGCTTTTGAACAAAAATAATAATCGTCAAGGAATGTGCTTATTGAGAAAACTGCTCTGAGGTCTCAGCCTTATTGCTGTGGTAATGCTTTTTCAGTCTGTTAAAACTGAAATGTGCTATTCATATGCCACCCTGTGAAGAAGATATAGTTGAGCGTTGCTTGTTGGGTGGCCTTTGAAAACCTTGTCCACAGTAGCACTTTCAAACCATGCAGAGAGATTGCAGTTTAAGAAGTTTTTCATTCACATGAAGTAATTTTCATACACTGTGAAATCTTGTGTAGAAATGTTGGAACATCCCCAGCAGAGCTTGTTTTTGCGTTATACTACATTAGTCTATCTGGTCTGTGTATGGTGTATCACCTTTTTTTCATAAATTGGTCTGCAGATGCAGAGCAGATTCCTGGCTGGTGTAAACTAGTCCTGTCCCATCTTCTTCAGTGCAGATCCTTTTCTCCACTAAGGATACACCCCATGCTGTTTGGGTTTCCCTTGAAGTGGATTGGTTCAGATCTGTGCTTCTTTTTCAGGCTTGCCTATTTTCATGGGACTGAAAGAAAGAGCTGTGCATTTCAGATAAAATTGCTGTATAGCAAAATCTAATTAGTTCAGTGGCTTACTTTGCAAGGAAGTGGGGATCATGTGTGGGACTTCGTGGCTATATCCCAAATTCTTTAATATTTTTGTGTTTCAGAATTAACTTCATCTAAAATAGAAATTAGTTTTCTTTCTGAGGCTTTTTCAGGGGCAATGCTATAGGTTAGATCACCTGATTTTTGCTTTTTAAAATTTTTCAAGGATAAATGCAGATCTGTTATTTAAGAAGTCTTTTAAGCCATATAGGTTTTCAGATAGAAGTTGACTGAAAGGAAAATGCCTGTTGTTTGCCTTCCCTGGGCCCCAGGCAATAGGATGTAAATATGGGTAGTGAATACTGTGTGAGATCAAACTGGCATTTTTTCTGAAGGTGAGAATCCAAGACAATATATACAATTAAAGCCAACAGCCTTGCCTACCAAAAGGAGTCCATGCCTTCTGGCATTCTCCTCTGAATACCTCCTCTGTTCCTCTCCCATGTATATGCATCTCACAGTTTCTTTACCAAAAAAAAAAAAAAAAAAAGTGTAGTAGAACCAGCCAGCGCCAGTTTGTTTTCCATGTTTTCTTTTCTCTGTAAGGGATTAGTTGTAGTAACAGATTTCATGTGCCAGAAAGTGGGTGAACATTAACTATTTTGTCATGCACTGATCCTTCCCACAGCCCTGCAAAATTTGAAATGCAGGAATGGTTATTCATTAACATTTCTTTGTGTCTACAGGAAGTACATTTACTAT